TTTTTTTTTTTTTTTCTCGCTCGATCTATTGTTTTCCAATTTGAGGTTGAAAGATTGGGACTTTGAGGTAAATTTTGAATATTACACTTTAGTCCATTAATTTATCATATATTAGCTTATCAATTCTCAAGTGCTAAATGTTATTTGCCATTTTTTGCCTTTTGCAATTACACCAGCCAATTTTTGTCTGAATCGTAACAGCATCTTTATATTCAAGCACCCCACTATTAACCACTTTAATTCACATTCATTATTCTACATTAAAACAATCCATTCAAAGTTTTTTCTCAGTTTATTATTAATTAATTAGATATAAGTATTTTAGTTTATTATATATTATTTCAATAAAAATATTTTTTAACTTAAAAATGAAAAAAAAATAACTAAAAAATGAAAAAAAATGAAGCACCCCAAAAATGGAGTGCCAACGACATGTCAGCTGAAATGTTGGCGTATCAAAAAAATATGGTTGCCTCCTTTGAGAGGTAACCCTGGATAAAGATGCTCTAATGCATACATTAGAATTTAGGAAAAATGTACAATTTGTGATTGCTGTGGGCACAATTAATCATCTTTTTAGCATAAATTTTATTTAATTCAATTTGATACACTCTCATTGTTCATGTCTACATTATTAATATAATTAATTTTAGTAATAGATTAATTTATAAATACTAGATTTTAGTGGTAATTTGAAATTAATACATATACTTCAGATAATTATTTATTCATTCCTTTTCTTTTTAAATTAGACTTTAATTGGTATTTGATGAAGATCGACTACACGTTATCAATGGCCCTTGCACGAAGTAAGTGGGTCGAACTTGACCACCTAAATGAACCCGATCGTCGACAATACTTAGGGTCACCCCGACATCGGATGGGCCGAAAATGTAAGTATGCTTTTCCAAGGAGGCAAGGCTTGATTTCCACCTCGACCTCGACCTCTAACCAACCTGAGGGTTATGACAAGTCGACGTTAGTTCCTCCCCTTGTACCCTAATTAGGAGCACACTTGACATCATTTGCCACACTTGTCACCACCCGTCAAGAACATTAAGTACCCTCAACCTCGACGTCGGGGCACACCCAACCGTGGGTATAAATACTTGTCATCACACCTCGACATTGCTCACCAACTCTTGGGAAGTCGTATGTCGACCACCTCAATGATGTAAAGGTACACTCGCATTCTATAAATACGGACATCCCCTCATGACAAAGGGGATGATAGGAGTATGACCCTCTAAAACTCTTTTTTCCTCCCGCTTCTCTCTACATCGGAGATTCAATTTCCGGCGCCTAACTTGACCGTCGGAGGGGGATAAGGGGTAAACTCCCCGATTTCCCTTGTTTGCAGGTTCACGTCGGAGCTCAACACCTCAACTGTCGATCGTACATCACGCCGCACCACCGTTCATACTCCTAAAGCATGATCTGGCCCAATAAGCCTTGTCTGCGATGGCGTAGGAAGCGAACGTCGGGGGTCGGATAAGAAACTCGAACGGCGGTGCGACGTGATGTACGATTGACAGTTAAGGTGTTGAGCTCCGACGTGCACCTGCAAACAAGGGAAATCGGGGAGTTTACCCCTTATCCCCCTCCGACGGTCATCATTTGCACGAAGTAAATAATTTGACCTCGCTGGAGAGTCTCGATGGACGTCGCTTTCACACCGACAATGTTTCTTTCCTTGAAGTTGCTCCCTCCAATTTAGAAGCTCATCCATAGATGCTATAACCTCTTCATCTATGTCAAGAATGAGGTCATGGAAAGAAGATTTGGATCCGGAGGTCATTCTTCACAAATTAGTGATTTATGGTATGAAAAGCAAAATAAATTGACAAGAAGAATAAGTAGAAGAAGAAGAAGAAGAAATGGATGAGGAAAAAGACGGGATGAGACGAAGGAAGAAGAAAGGGAGGGTTCGGCCTCCCCACTTTTATTTAAAAAAAAAAAAAAGAAAAAGTATGAAGGGACAATCCGACAAGGCTATAAAGCCAAGAAGAGAGAAGATGAAAATATTCCCTCTTTCCCTCTTTAAAATTAAATAATAATAATAATAATAATAATAATAATAATAATAATAATAATAAAGGAAAAAATTGAAAGGGGGAGGAAAGGACAAGGCAGGAACGATCAGAGAAAGGATAGAGGAAGATTGAGAGCAGCCTGCTCTCTTTATATATTTTTTTAAAAAAAAAATGAAAAAGGAAAAAATAGGGGAGTAAGGTTGAATGGTCAAAAAGCTTTATATATTTTTTTTTAAAAAAAAAAAGAAAAAGAAAAAAATAGGGGAGTAAGGTTGAATGGTCAAAAAAGAGTAGGCAGGAAACAATTAACAATGCCAGCAGCCTACTTTCCCCCTTTATCTCCAAAACCAAAACAAAAAAAAGGGGGAAAGGAAAGAAAGGTGGTAACGGCTACCTAGAGACATGAACTAGGGTTTTTTAGCTCACTCAACAATTAGGTTTGTTGGGCCTCCACCCATTTCCTCTTAAATACCTCCAACACATAATCTCATCATATGAAGTGAACCCTGAGACCTCGACTACGCTATCGACCCGCGACAGAACACTTTTGTCGCGGGCCGGGGGGCAAATGTTGGAAATCGACTATACGATATCAATGGGCCTTGCACGAATTTAGTGGGTCGAACTTGACCACCTAAATGTGTTGCATGTTGAAGGCCTTGTATCATTTCTGTCTCTTGGAGTCTTGTGTAACATGCATTAACTGAATTTAATTACTAATGCTATTGGCATGCTTGTAAAATGCAGAATCTGACTCAACGCATGTTAATCGGAAATATATATTTTGTTGGCAAAAAGAAAAAAAGAAATATCTTATTGGGTCATCAATGCTGCCTTTAAATTTTCTTCGTAGAAGTTTCTAACTTTTTAATTTTTATATTTGTCTCACATCCTGTGGTAGAACCTTCATATCTAATGAAATAGCGTTCTACTTTTCCTGTATTATCCCGTGCTTGACCTTAATTGTGTTTTGTTATTTTATTTTCTACATCATCTGATTGTTTTTCTGATGAATCTGTATAATGTGCAGTGATGGTTCCCTTGCATTATTATAAACATAAGCACCCACTGAACTTCATTTTCCTTGGGCTTTTCACTGCTTCTCTGAGTCTTACAGTCGCTGTGAGCTGTGCCAATGTTGAAGGTTAGTTACATTAACGTCATATCAATTTCAAGGAGGGCATTAGGATGTATAATTACTTATTCTAATCTCTCTTTCCTGCACCTCCTTATAGGGCGCATTGTGCTTGAAGCTTTAATTTTAACATCAGCTGTAGTATCAGCTCTAACCGGATATACCTTCTGGGCTTCCAAGAAGGGCAAGGATTTCAACTTTCTTGGACCAATCTTGTTTGCTAGCCTCTTTGCATTGGTTATGGCTGGTTTGATTCAAGTATCTACCTCCCTCTCCAGATAATTTGTCTCACTTTTCCATGCTTTAGGAGTATGAACGGCGGCGCAGCGTGACGTACGATCGA